CAGTTTATTTTTTTTTAATTTTTCAAAAGCTTGCAGAATAAGGACATAAAGAAAATATTTTTGTACAGCAGTACAGTTTGTGTTTTAAGCTGTTATTACAAAAGACCCAAAAAGTTTTAAAAATGTAAAAGTTTATGAAGTAAAAGAGTTAACAGTAAACTATTATTGAAGAAAGAATGTTTTGTAAATTTAATGTAGCTTAATTGTATAGTGTTGATGAAGTCCCCAGTAGTGTCAGTAATGTCCTACGTCTTCAAAGTCACTCACCACTCACTCACTGACTCACCCAGAGCAACTTCCAGTCCTGTAAGCTCCATTCAAGGTAAATGCCCTATGTAGTTCTACCATGTTTTATCCTTTATGCCATAGTTTTTGTATTTTTAGTGTACCTTTTTTACATTGAAATAGATTTAGATATACAAATAGTATTGTGTTATAACTGTCTGCAGTAGTCAGTACAGCAACACGCTGAACAGGTGTGTAGCCTAGGACCAATAGGCTATACCATATAGCCTGGCTGTGTAGTAGCTATATCTACTAGGCTTGTGTAAGTGTACTCTGTGATGTTTGCATAACCATGAAATTGTCTAACAATGCACTTCTCAGAACATTTCCCTGTCAGTAAATGACACATGAGTGTAATAGGAAAACAGATTTCAGTTCAGGATAAGGGAACTTTAAAATTCTGTTGTATGAAAATGGGCAAGGTCATCTTGGTAAACAGTGAGTTCCCCTCAGGTAGGAAATTATAGAGGACCAAGGGTACTAAAGGAGAGGTATCTGAGGTTGGTTGTAAGGTGTCCTTCTAACTCTTGAGATTAAATAATTATCTTAGTGCCTCATTTCTCATCATTAAAAAAGGAAAATGCCAATAATAATGGGAAAGCTGTTACTAAATTGAAAAGCGGCACATCATTAGTAATGGACAAATGTGTCTGTTTTTTTTAAGCAAACCAAATGAATTGTTCTCTAAAATCCTTAATTAAAAATTAAAATTAGTTTACATTTTACATTCATTGTTATTTTCAAACTTTAAGCAATTATATCAACCAGATCCAAATTTAGGAATTGCGGGCAATGGCAGAATTAACAAACTATAAGTAGCAATCCATAGGTTAGATTCTAATGGTGAAGAAAGTCCCTTCGGTACCTGATCATTATTTATCTCAGGATTTAAACAGTAACTATAATTGTATTCTTTGAACACAAAGTTCCCGCCAGTCCCCCCACCCCATCCCGTAGTTAATTAGCTGGGTAGGTCTTACAACAAATACTCACTCAGAAGCACTGGGCGGTAGAAATGCTGTTAATAATTAAACACCACAATAGCACAGAGCCTGTTTCAAGAGCCATTGAGTGGTCTTGCCCCTGATGGACTGCTTACCACACAGTCACAGACCCTCCATTGTGCCAGCATGGCTGCTCAGAGGGATAGCTGCTTGGCTGGAGAAGAGACCAACTGCAATGAGAGGAAAGGGCAAGCCTTGCAAAGAGATCAGGATCATGGACTCCAGGGAAAAGTATCCTGTGGGTGGAAGTGAAAGGGGAATGAATCCAAGAAAAAGGGAAGTGGATGGGTAGGAATGATAAAAGAGACATAGCCTTTCTATTTTCTAAATCTGACCAGTCAAACTGAGTTCACCGATCTCATGCCGAATAGATAGCAATCAGGAAATTGTAATATATAAATAATAGGTTGATTTGTATTCCATTGGGTTTAGAGAAAATTCACTGAGTTCTTTAAGGTTTAGATGCAGATTATGAATAAGTCATCCCATCTCCCCGGGACCTCAATTTCCTCATCTTTAAAATGAGGAGGTTGAAAATGTCCCCGTTCCAGGGTGGCAAAAATAGAAATGTGAGTCCCAGAACAATTTTCAAGCTTTCGAAAAGCCTAACTATCACACCATTACTCATGATAAACTACACAGTCTAATATAATTATATTTACTTTCTTCTGCTTAAAATATATTAACCCACTTGTTAGGTTGATTATCTCATTCTGAATAGATGCTTCTATTGACAGTTATATTGGTCATTAATAATAGGGAGAAACATGATCACTTTATAAGTCAGCTGGTTTGGTAGACCAAAAAAAATCTTTCAAAAGAAGGTGTTTTATTAAGCTATTAAAAATCCACTGGAAAAAAATAAACAAAGGTTTTGTTTGGTGAAATGCTTGGAAACCACTGGCTCTCTGACTTGTCCGTGCAATTACTTCCAACAGATGCAAATGATACTCTCAAGGGCACCTGTGGTCTTAACCTGGCAAAAAGGGATAGAGTTTTACAAAGTTTCCCTTTTTTCAAAATCTTCACTTTTTGAAAACACTTTCCATTCTTCTCCATAATAGACCTATTTAATTTCTAAATAATATGCTTAATCAAAATCTGCATGTAAAATTTGTTGCTCCAAGAAGACACCTTCATTTATATTGTGTCTTCAGAGATGATCACTCTACCCCACACTTCACCCTCCATCACCACAGTATTATGTTAAGAGTTTAGATATCCCAGTTTGAGGTGCCCTGGGATCTAAATAATCTTGGAGAGCTCACCCAGCTGTAAAATTCTGTTTTTAGTCTCTGAAGAGGCAAAATGCATTATCATGAAGAGGTGGAATCCCTTTACCATAATAACTCAAATTGCATCTCAAGCCTAGAAGGAAAGGGAAAATGCAGAAACAAATGTGTGGTTCTAGGGAAAGCAGAAAAATTGTCAGAAGGAGCCAAGCATAGCTCAAGAGAAGCTGTCCATCTGAAATGCCACCTGGAATTCACACCAGTAATAACTGTTGTGGATATAAAAATTAATAGGGGGGATTTCATAGTATTAGAAAAATTTATTTTTATAAATCTTGTGTCTATCACCCAAGTGTTGACGCATGCATGCAATTCAAACATCAGGCATACAATTAAAAGCTCACTGAATAACTTAACAAGGACAATTCCCCCATTTTCTCTATAATTTGGAGTGAAAGAAGGAGGGGGGAGTGGGTAGAGAGTGCAGTTACTGGGTCAATTAATCAACCTGAAAACTGTGACACAAACTCTGACGCCTAACCTATGTCTAAAAATACACAAATGTATACGAATTTGTTTTAAACTGTCAATGCCTATATTTAGGACCTTCCCAGCAAGGCTATAATGAGACTGTGTTTGAGGGCTTCAGTCATAGCAGACTCTACCATTAATCTGAAGTTAGTTAAATTAACAGCATTTAGTACTGACTTGTCAATCTCACTGCTCCAGGAAATTGCACCTTGAGGCTACTAATATTGCCAATTTTTCCACTGGAGTGTGCGCCCGCGTATGTGTATGTGTATTTTTTTTCTCCAGAACCTCTGCGTTCATACCCCATCACTGCTTCCCTACGTCCACAGCACTTATATTATCATTTATTCTGGCCTCCTTTAGCCTTCCCCGGGGATTCTGCATAGTGTAGCTGCTCAGTGAAAGAGTTTTTTAGCTTTATATTTATTTGTTTATTTTTCTGTCATGGCTCATGACTGAGGCTTTTAAAAAAAAGTGTGACAGTATTTAGAGTACATGATTGACTGCTACAGCAACATTCATTAACCATGACAAATCTGCAGCAAAACACAGTCCTGAGTGTTCTAAACAGCAACTTTAAAAAGAAAGAAGAAAGAAAGAAAAAGAAAAGACTCAGCTAATTTTTCATTGACCTCATCTGTAAATAAATTTAGACTGATGGTGCACAGAGGCCATAATAAATTAGTATTTATTTCCTGTAATTAATGCAAACATGCCTATGAACACAGAGAATGTGAATATATAACCACCTAATTTCCATTTCAAAATACACCTAACAAATTTTCACTTGAGTTATCTTCACAATATGTTGTCCCTTAATTAGAAGAATGAAATAGTTGGATTTCTTTCCCACCCACCAGGGAGAAATATTGTTTTGGTCACAGGGAGTGTCAAACACTTTTCAGCAACAGATCTGCAGGACTTTATTCTGGCTTACTTGACTGTAGTGTGATCCCCTACCATATTCCCATGCTGAGGCTGTCTTTTATCACTTAACCAGGAGGAGCTCTGGAGTGACCAAGTGACCATCATGACAGAACCTCATATGCATAACAGCCATGAGGAGATCGTAAGAGGCAGCCTCACTGCTCAGCACAAAAAAGGGAAACGTTCTTTCCCATTCATTGACATGAATACAAGGGTAGGATGGCTAAACAATCTGAAGTAAATCAGATGAAGACTATCACATATTGGGTAAAATAGAACTAGCAAGCTCTACAACCTCTCTCAGCAAGAGGAGCTCATATAATATATCCTCTTGAGCATCGGTATCTCTGGAGATCATTCCTGCCATCATGCCACAATCAAAGATCAATTTCTGATCACATTAGACTCAGCCAGCCATCAGAACTCACTAGCTCAACTGTGGCAGCAGTAGTGGAACTCTTTGTAAGCAATAGATAAATGGATTAGCAATGATAAAATTGTGCCTCCAGGATACACATACAAAAATGTCTATAAGCTGGGAAGAATGTGCTAAAGGCAGAAAATTTGAATCAGGTTCTACCAAAAATAACACAAAACTTCACCAGAATGCAACTTGCCTCATGGATAATTTTTCCTAGGGTCTTCCTGGCCCTATAGAGTTTTGCCCCTGCATGTTTGTCCCTCTAAAGGTCATGGAAACAAATGTGTACGCTCTGGATTAGAAGTGGTCCTCTTGGGTACTTGATGGTGGAATTCTAATTAGCTGAGTTAAGCAGCTAATTGAGGCGTGTGTTACAGGAGGACAGAGAGCAATGGGAATATATTAATTTGATGAATTTGCCACTTAATCTGATTGTAAGTGTCACTAATTAGACCTTATATAAGACAGTTGATAACAAACACAGATCCCACTTTTCCCAGGCATTTTTTTAAAATTATAGTAGACTCTGGGATATATCCTTCCAACAAAGCAGCATTTCCCCAGAAAGAAAAGGAAGTAAACCCATTTCTTTCCCTTTAGTTGTCAGCCTGGAAAGCCGAGCAATGCACCTCAACACACTGGTCCAGGAAGCCCAGGAGAGGGTGAGTGAACTGTCTGCCCAGGTGGAGAATGAAGGATTCACTCTGGACAACACAGAGAAAGAGAAACAGCTGAAATCTTGGGAGTGGAGGTATCGGCTCTACAGACGCATGAAAACAGGCTTTGAGCATGCCAGTGAGTATAAGCAGAAAACGTCTACATTTCACTAGACTGAACTTCAGTTTGAGACAGCCAGGCCTTCTTTTACTGATTTTTTTTTTCAGCTCTACAGGGTCATGGATGGCCGTTGTCAGCCTGTGTGGAGCAAGGGCTCTGAGAGGCTGTCAAAGGGTCTTTTGTCTTGCCTGAGTTTCTGGCTCCTGATGGGTGCTCTGACCACAGCCATGAGGCTTCATGTCTCTGGCCTCTCTCCACCATGTCACACTCATCTAGCACTTTCCACCCGCTATGCCCTAATGCCTAATGACCTGAATGGTCTGATGCCCTAGGTGGCTATATTTTGGGATAGGGAGGTGGAAAAATATTTGTTTGCCTATTTGTCCAGTTTCTGCTTCAAGCTCAAGTTTAAGTTGTTTTCAACTCTCCACTGTATTTTTTATGTAGAGCTATAAAGTGAACTTCAGTTACACAGGCAACTGAAAAGGACAGTCAATCAACCCATGAATTATGCTTTTGTCTGCATTTCCATTCTCTTTACCAATTCTTTTTGTTAGTTTAAGAACAGCCTTCTTTTTGGAGAATACTCATTAGCACTGAAAGTAATGCTGAGTGTAGCTCCTGATATAAAAACGAAATGCAGGCCGGGCGCGGTGGCTCACGCCTGTAATTCCAGCACTTTGGGAGGCCGAGGCGGGTGGATCACGAGGTCAAGAGATTGAGACCATCCTGGTCAACACGGTGAAACCCCATCTCTACTAAAAATACAAAAAATTAGCTGGGCATGGTG